AAAGTAACAATAAAATTAAAGTTTTATTACAGTAATTTGAAAAATGCCGTGGAAACTGCCAAAATTGCCGTAGACAGCTGTTACGTTCTACGGCAATTTTTAACGCCATTGCCGTCGATTGATTTCAGGGAAATTCGAGGCCTGGCTGGAATCATTATTTTATGTTACTCTCACGTTTCTCTCACAAATAATTTGTATGTATTTTTATGTTTCAGAGCGCATGATCGAGACGCACTTCTGTCTACAACATTTTCATTCTGTTTTCCCTTCATTCGCTGTATTTTAACAAATGCTGACTTGGATGTCAAGACGAAGGAAAGAGCAATGGTAGTTTTATCAGAATATTGTACATTGCGCATGCGTGAGGATGGCATTGATGAACGATACAGTGAGGTGAGTTACCATGGTTACTTTGTGATTGGCCAGTTTAACTTGCCGAGGTAGTGGTGGTTTAGTTGATGCACATGTGTCGTTCGTCTCTGTTCGACAAGTTGTCTGATTCCATGATTCGCCTCAGTCAGTTGTGAGAAGAGTGCTTCCACTTTGCCATTCTCTGGAGGTACTTCAGTTTTCTCCTGTAGCAATACTGGACCAACTGACACCAAATTCTCCGAACATTAAAATCTTGTTAAGATACGAGCTATTGAAAACAAGACACAAAATTCAATGTTTGAAGGCTCGAAATAGACCTTTCCCTTATGAGTGAAATTTTGATCTAGACAAGCCTGGACATAAATTTCATCACAGCTTGAAAGAGCATCACAAAATTAGTAATATTCCGAAGTGTCGTTGCAAAATGTTGTAAAATGCGGATAATATAGCCTTGCGAAGTTTGCCGTTTTTCAGTCATTTTGTATTACAAACGGGAAATTGATAATCAGATGATCAAACTGATTATCAATTTCCCATTTGTAATGCAAAATGACTGAAAAACGGCAAACTTCGCAAGGCTATATTATCCGCATTTTACAACATTTCGCGACGAAACTTCGGAATATTACTAATTTGGTGATGCTTTTTCAAGCTGTGATGAAATTTTTGTCCAGACTTGTCTAGATCAAAATTTCACTCAAAAGGGGAAAGGTCTATTGTCGTCTTGAATTTTGTTTTCAATGGCTCATATCTTCAGTTTACACGATATTAGGGCTGTGATTTATCGTATGATAAAACTATCCAGTCTAAGTTATGTTTATATTGTTAATACATTTTAGACTGGTCCAAGCAACCTTCCTCGAACAGACATGTTGAAATTATTGACGAAAATAATCCAAAGTCATCCTGATCCAATTAAAGCTTCTAAAATTCAAGTATGTAATGACGTTCACGTGGTGGTCAGCATTAGAAATGTTCAGTCACATACGAGTATTTTCTCCAAATACAACATTACTACAATAAAATGAGAAGAATGAATATAGGGAGTTTACGATCTTGACGACGAACTACCGACTACGTTTGAAATAGTTTTTGTTATATATATGCAAATACTAAATGCTTTAAAGTTTGTTCGTTCACTGCAACCAGGTATATCAATCATGTTTCGCTCGCTACTCTGGTTTAAATAAATGATTACAAAGCCCAGTCGAATTGTAA